ACACACCAAGCAACTGTGGACACACGTTTGTACATAAATCAAAACTGCATTAAAAGCTACAGAAGGCCGAGGGAATTATGTACACGCTGCTCACAGCACTGGAGGAAGAAAAGCTAAACAATAAAACAAATTGCGCTCTGCAGATTCAGCCAGCGCCGGCTCCAGCAGTAAATCTAAGAGGGATCCATTTAGACAGAATCAAGACGTCCATTTAGATTAGGCACATCTATGCCAACACAGAAAAGAGTGCTTTCTAATAGCTTGTTTAACACATCAGACTGGACGTCCAAAAGCTGCTCCTCACTAAAATAGAAACCTGGAAAATTTTAGATTGCAGCGGGTCTCGTCTTTTATCTCTTTCATGGGGCAGCAGCATCTCTCCTCGGGGACCATCTTATCTTAAAACAGAAAATTTAAGCTGTATTTCCGGCCCCAAACCACTGCTTTGAAGACGCAGCCTGGGAAACAGGCTGCTATACGTTGGAGCAGAAACCCAGTGACGCTCTGAGTCTAACTACAGGTCCAGCAAAGGCAGCGTAATGATCAGAATCAAGACTATTAACCAATAAACTGCAAATGGATACGTCACAACAAGATATTTACCTAAACTATATATAATGTGGCATAAAATCAAGCTAAATTTGCCATTTTAGAACAGTTAGGATTACTAAAATGATCCCTATTTGGCAGAAAAATAAACTAGACGTGAGGGGTGGACAATAAATCAATAATATATATTGCGATAGACAGTAAGACACAGATAATATGTGGAAGACAATTAGAACCCGGACACATCTTATTGCTGTAAATCTTGCCCTCTGCTACGCTTCAGCTAACATAGCCTCTTGGGATGCTTAAGCTAGCTAGCATAGCCACCGACTATGGCAGATAAAACCATTTTCTCTAACGGTCAGTTGTTTCTCTGCCATTAGCACATTTAGCAGCGAGTGTATGAGGTTTTTTGCAGGAATGCGCGATATAAACTGTATACCGTAGAAATGATAGAAATTAGGCCTATGACTGAGATCTGCAGTCTACCGGCTAACCGCGGTAATGCTTGTTGAAGACGTAACGGCCGGCATTAAAACAGAGCAAGCGGAAAGCAGCGTGGCTGAGAGCGGAAAGGAAGAGCTCGTTAAAAGTGCAAAAACGTCAGTTATCTGGACCTGGTTCAGGTTCAACCTCCCGCGGTCTTAGCATGACGCTCAGTAGGAGCGCGGCAGATGTCATGGTCAGCCAACGGAGAGGAGAGGGGTAAAAGCTCATGTAGGATTGGTGCGACCCCTGCTGGGAAAGCTGGTTGAGTCCATTGGATCCCGTTTCTTACTCTTCCCGCAGTAATAGTGCGATGCTCAGGAGAAGGCAGATGTCACGGTTGGACAGCTGGGAAGCGCCATGGGGCTGAGTGATGGTCTTTCCGAAACCACAAAAAGAAAATCTTGTAAAAGCGCACGGTGCGACTCCGCTGGACCAAGCATAGAGTAAAAAAACTTGTGGGGTTTAAATGACTTCATCTCTTAAGAACACAGGAAGGTTCAAGACTAAAACCGGGAGCAGAAAAATGTAATCTGTAAAGTGTGTGGAAGTTAGAAAGTGCAAGTAATTTGTCCAGGTTTTCCTTAAAATTAGATTTTTTTAAAAGGAAGGCCTGGTAATGACAGGGAGCAGCATAAAGCAAAACAGTTAAAAACGTTACATATAAATAATATGCTTAGGAGTATTTAATGAGTGTTAAACAAGTTTTAACACAAACAAATACACTCCACTCAATTAGTTTTTTGTTTTTATTGCAAGTTTTATACAAATCATATCGTGATGTATATCGTTACCGCCACCCATCATAATATATATCGCGATATGAATTTCATGCCATATCCTTAGCTTAAGACCCGCCTCCTGGCTCTGATTGGTTGTTTTTGAACTGGAGTGGCACATTTCTTCAGACGGATATAGTAGCTCACGGAAGAGATCAATGTTTTCACAAATTATCTGTCTCATGTTATTCCGTCACAACATTTTTAACAAATATCTAAAAAATATATTCTTAAAAGATGCAGCTTTAAAGTCCATCTCCTGAAAGCAAAAACGCGTGCCTCCACCTCGGGCAGCAGCAGACAGTTCCCCATGTGGGACAAGACAGCAGCCGGTTCTGCTCTGTAGGTCCATTAGAACCCACATTCCCGTCCTGGCTTTTAAAGCGCAGCACTTTTATTATGAGCAAGAGATTAGACTCAGTCTTATATCCAACACTAAGCTTCCCCTTTTCTCTCCACGGGGGAGAACGCCTCCTTTACAGAGCTTAGCCGACCGACAGCAGCTTCAGATGTTTTCATCTGAAGCCGTTTCCTGGAGCGCAGTCCCAAAAGTAAAACATCACATGCGCTCTGTAGTCTAAACAAGTCTGCTTGGAAATCATGTTGGATGATTGCTGAGGTGCTGCGGCTTTAATTAACAGTCACAACACAGAGCAGACAAAGTGTAGGGCAGGGAGGGAGGTTGGTTTCCATCCAGAAGCTCAGTGGCGTACTTTAAAATTAACACAGCTTTTAATTCAAGTAAAATGTAATCCTAAATGGGATGCATGGGAATTAATATGGACAATCAAAGCCTTGGTGAAGCAGAGCTTCATACTGTCAAAGAGAAACGGTAATGAGTTCAGGAGGGGAGGACTGTGACAGATTAGAGGGTTTTCTCCCTGACACGAGCCTCTCTGCTGCCTCCTGAAGAAAACTGAGAGTCGCTGGTGTTCGACGGAGTTCATAATTAACCAATGTACGGCAGGATGATTTGTCATTTAAGAAGGGTTTGCATACTTCTCCCACTGTAAAATTCAAGAGCTTTTCAAGGTAAGTTTGAAAACTTAAGAGTTTAGAGATAAAATAATACAAATGGACCCAAAAAAAACAGTTTCAATTCATTATTATATGATATAATTTATGTGTTTTCAATATCTTGTGAATAGTATTACAGCAGGAATAAAGTAAATCATTGAGCAACTAGGAATAAGAAATATTTATTACCCTGAAATAGGGTTGGGCAATAAATCAAATATATATATATCACAATATGCTTGTAATCAATATCAGTAGATAAAACATCTGGTAGAAAATTCAATATTAAATAGAACATGGGAGATGTAGACAGAGGAAAGACTTTAGATGCTAAACCTCTTACAGTAAGCTAAGAAGTTAGTGGAATTAACTCCCTCACTCTTTGGTTACCTAGCAACTCTCTCACTCTTTGGTTACCTAGCAACAACCTGTTGAGTAACTTCCGCAGCAGCAGTTTGAGGTTTTTCCCACTGTGCCTCATAACCGCATAAAAATAAACAAAATGGAGTAAAAAATGTGGATAAAGCAGAAAACAAGTTTGGGATTATTTCAGATATTTAAAACTAAAAAACAAGTCAATCATTATCAATATCATCTGATATGAAACGCTTATATCGTGATACGTTTTTCAGCCACATCATCCAGCCTCTCACTGAAACAATTCAAACAAATTGTGTTAAGGCAAATGACCTTCCTGCTCAAATTAAGATATTTAAGCACAGTAAATAAAAGATAAAAAAAGACATCTCTAAAAAATGTTCTGTTCATTTTTTCTGCCATTTAGCAAACAGAAATAATTTTGCTTATTCTAACTAACCTAAAACAAAAAGTTTAGTCTGATTTAACTTCAAAAAGTGAGAAAAAATGATTGCATATGAAAATATTTGGTTTCAACTGTAAAAAAATGTTTTCCAAATTTAGGTTTTTAAGCAAATGATACAAAAATTTGCAGTTTGAAAATCAAGCACTTTCCAATACCTTGGAAACAAGTGATTAAAATTCAAGCATTTTCAAGGATTTCCAGCACCCGCATGAACGCTCATTAAGGTTTACAGCGTTGCAGAGTGAGCTCAGAAAGACGGCAGTCGGTCACATTCGGTGATCTGTGCAGAACAGAGTGGATCACCGGTTGAGCAACCACATTGACCAGCAGGGTGACACCCTATTATTTACTGCAATACGCCTTTCAGGCAGGCGAGAGTTTGAGTTATTTACATCACTTTTAACCCTTTGAAAGGATTTCCAACATCTGTTCCTGCAAGACGTCTCGTGTTCCTCCTCAAACCAGATGTTTTGCTGTTTCTTTTAAGCCAAAAGAGTCGCATATTTCCACTCAGTCAGATTGCATCATCGCTGAGAAGGATGAAGTATCTTTATAAGTAAATGAGTCGGCTTTATGGATTAGCGTGCAACTTTGCATGAACAGATGCTAAACCCATCAAACTACATCTGCTGAATCTAATTAAAGCCACAAGGAACATCTGCAGAGAGTCCATGGAGCCAGAACAAACCGTTAGATGCATTTTTAATACGGTAAATAAATCTGAATTAATATTATTGGGTTTTCTGTGGACTACATAGGAAGAGGTGGTAAAATATGCTAAAAATCATTTTACACATTTTAAATGAAAACCAAATGTTTGCACAGATGGGTTATTATTATTTTGTTTAATGTTTTGGAAGGAAAATATTGCTGTGATAAGTGCTGACATAAGAACAAGCTGATGTTTTCAAAGTCCAAATATTGATCATGCAGCTGGAATTGCTACTTTTTTGTTACATCTATATATGAAATATTTCAAAATACGACCTAGTGCAGTTATTTTGTGTCGTCTGTGGAGTTTTTACACGTTTTAAAGATTTCCTACTTTTCCCAGAATTCCAGAGTTCTCAGTCCTTCATGTTCACTTTAAATATAAGAAACTAATGTTGAATTTATGTCAGAAATGTTTTTAAAAAAGAGACGTTTTAAATACGAAACATGTAAAAATGGTAGGAAAGGAAGAAACAAAAGGAAAGATGTATACCTGGGAAAGGAGGAAGGAAGGAAGCAAGTAACTAGGAAATGAAGGAGGTAAGGAAGGAAGGAAGGAGATGTTTAACTAGGAAACAAAGAATGAAAATATAGAACTAGGATAGGAAGGAAGGGAGGAACAAAGAAAAGAAGGAAGGAAGGAAAAGGAAGGATGTAAGAAAGGAAAAAAGATAGGAAGGTTATAGTTTTTCCCCATTAACTACCATTTTTATTCGTTTCAGATGACGAAAATGTCTTCTCATTTTCAGTTTTAATTATTCCGTTCGTTCTAGCCAACTACATTAACCTTGGTTGAAACTTTATTTCGTTGTGACTTTTTGTTTGTCCAACTCAATTTTATTTAGTTTTTAGAAAGTGTTTGCTAGTTCTTGTTAGTTTTTATGGGTTGAATGTTGTTAATTTTAACAGGAGATACAATTTTCCAAAAATGTATTGAACTGTTGTTGAACAACCAACGGACTGGTGTTTTCTTTCAGCTTTTGCTGTCGCCGTTTTGCGGAACAGCGTAAATGCCTTGCTAACAGCTGACGTAAACTGCTTGTGTGAAGGAAATAAAAAACAAACAAAAAATCAATTTCAGAACAGTTAGAAAGGCTAATAAATAGATTCATAAGCACAAAAACAAAGGGTATTATATCTAGTTTTATAAATGCACGATATAGTTGTAGCTAGTTAACCTTGATAGAAACTGCAGCGCTCAGACATGAACAGAGGCAGAGCGCATTAAAACAGCTGGTTCAAGTCAGAGCAGGACGCCAACCTTTAGCGTGTGAAACGGTGTGGGGAGTCAAAGCGATGTGTAATCTGAGTGGAGATTTAACGGTGACAAAGTGTTGACGGAAGCTCTAAACACAACAGCAGAACTTTCCATCCGTCTTTGCAGGTATTCTTCTTCACCATAGTCTTTTCTTCCCAAACAGCAAGTTGGTACACTACCGCCACCAGCTGGTCAGTCTGTGTAACCTTTAAATCAGCTGATCTTGGTTCGTCTTCATCTACCATCCAGGATTGCCTCATATTTAGATCCTCCCCGTTACACAAAATAATGATTGTTTTTTTCATAGATTTAGTTTACAATGACAAACAAAAACCATGCGTTTGCATAGATCTGAAAATGACATAGCCTTGACATTTACTGTGGCACACTTTGTGTTTGTGGTGGTCAAGCATGGTGGGATGGGTTTGAGATCCCGGGTTTTCTCATGGGTAAATCTTACAACTTTATTTGTGCTCTGCCCACAATTTAGTTGGTTTGTTACTTTAATTAGTTCATGTCATTTTCATTTAATTGAATGATTTTATATTTATATTTATGGCATTAACTTAGCAAACCGTTACCTGTTCCCACATCAATGTTCCAATGTTTGCTGACACAAGAACAAGAAAATAAATGTTTGACTAAACAAGCAAAATTTACTTTCTTATGTATAGATACTGAAAAAAGTTCAAAAGAAATTATCATATATGGGACAAAATCCAAGTGAATCAGACTATTTTGAATATAAACAAGAATAAAAAGTATGCCATTTGCTGGTGGGATGATGTAACACCACCAGCAAAAGAAGAGTCTGTGATGTCACTAGTGAGGCAGTCTGTGTGATGTCATAACCTATACATATAGAACAGAATTCTGCATATTTTTCATTGCTGTATCACTGACTAGTTCAGACATTAGCAAAGCTTTTTCAAAACGACCGTTCAGGTAATTTAGAAATCGATAGATTTTGGAGAACGTATTGAGGGAAAATGTCTTATCAAAACCCGAGAAGCCACAATGGAATGATGGGACCCCAGGTGAGAAGGGGCATCCATCGAAATGTCCAAGGCGGGTTCCCTCCTGTGCACCCGAATGTTTTGCACGAGGAAATCCAAAGGATGGGCTCTCTTTTAGAAATGGAGAGAGCCCACAGGTTTGAAGACAATCAAAGACTGGCCCAGCTGGAAGCAGAGCTGGAAGAAACAAAACTCCAGTTAAAAAGACAGAAAGCTCTTAAAGAAGTGTTCATCAACAAGGGCAAAGAGACAAAGAGGGAACTCGAGAGAATAGAGAAGCTTTGTGATCCAGCAGTTATTAATGCTGCGAGCCTCGCTTCCAAGGTTCACAACGATATGAAATATAAGAACAAGAAGATGCTCCAACAAGACTTTGTAGAATTAAAGATGGCCCACCTCCTCAGCCAGGAAGCATTTACATCAGAAATCCAGGCTGAGAAAGAAAAAAGCAAAACCCTTCAAGAAGAACTGGACAAACTCCAGACTTCCCACGAGGAGCTTTGCTCCAAGTATGAATCCGACGTTGCTCTGGTGAGGCAGGAGGCCGAGATGCAAAAGATTTATGAAGTGAGGGTTAGTGAGGTACAACTGGTCCTTGAGAATCTAAGAGCTGAAAAGGACAATATGTTTCAAAAGATGTCAGAAGAGATTGCGTTTCTGCAAAGTAGCGAAAAAAGTTTACAGGCAGAATTGGACCAGGTGAAACGTTCATACGAAGAACTCAATCAGAAGTATGAAAAAGATGTTTCTGGTCTTAAAGCCCAAGTGGAAACGTATGACAAAGAGCTAGAGCGTGAAAGAGAAGCCAGTTCAGATAGAGCAAACAAAGACCTAGAGGAAATCAACAAACTGAGAGAAGATCGAGACTTTATCTATGAATCAATGACAAAAGAGTTCACATTTCTGCAAATCAGTGAACACAATTTGCAGGTGGAGTTGGACCAGGTGAAAAGTTCATATGAAGAACTCGATCAGAAGTATGAAAGAGATGTTTCTGGTCTTAAAGCCCAAGTGGAAACATATGAGAAAGAGCTAGAGCGTGAAAGAGAAGCCAGTTCAGATAGAGCAAAGAAAGACCTTGAGGAAATCAACAATCTGAGAGAAGATCGAGACTTTATCTATGAATCAATAACTAAAGAGTTCACGTTTCTGCAAAGCAGTGAAAAAAGTTTACAGGCAGAATTGGACCAGGTGAAACATTCATATGAAGAACTCGGTCAGAAGTATGAAAGAGATGTTTCTGGTCTTGAAGCCCAAGTGGAAACATATGAGAAAGAGCTAAAGCGTGAAAGAAAAGCCAATTCAGATAGAGCAAAGAGAGATGACCTTGAACAAATCTACAAATTGAGATATGAAGCAATGTCAAAAGAGGTCCAGACTCTGCATCAGAAATTCAACAAGATCGCAAAAGATTTAAAATCTAATATGGGCCAATATGAAACAAGCCATTCTTCACTTATACAGAAGGTGGAAAAGCTTCAGACAAAGATAATTCAGGAGACAAAAGAACACTTGGAGAACGTGGTGCTTCTCAAGAATATGAAAGCCATAAATGCCACCCTCCGAGAAAACACGGCAAAAGAGATAGCATTACTGCAAGAGAAGGAAAGGGATGCGCAGACTGAGTTAGAGAAGATGAAAGATTTATACCAGGTGCTGCATTGTAGATATGAAACCGACATTGCTGCACTGAAACAAGAAGTAGAAAACTTTCAGCAAGTAAGTTGTGAGAGAAATATTAATTTGGAAAAAGCAAATGACGATCTAGACCTTGCCAACTTTCTGACAGATGAGAAGGAAGATCTCGAACAAAAACCACCACAAGAGTTCATAGATTTTCAAGAGGAGGAGAAAGAGAGCCAACCTGACCATGTTGAAGTTTTACATCAAGAGGTTTCTTCTGAGGAGGATTTCTCAGAAGAAACCTCATCAACTTGTCCCCTGTATATCGAAATGACAGACTTCGCTGCAGGATCCATCCAGGAGAATTTGGACAACATGCAGGATGATAAAAGGAAAAAGCCAAAGCTTTCAATTTGGAAAAGAATGCAAAACTCTATGCG